ATAGCTCAGTCATTGTAAGAGGAAAAGAGCCTTGATTTCSAAGTTCCCATTTGCAGCACTGACACTTACTGCCCAACCGGGCCCTTTCGCTTCCCTCTGCCTTCCTTTTCCTGCCAGAACAGAGATCAAGCTTATGCCTAATGGGTTACTGGTTAATGGGTAACCATGTAAAATACTTAAATACACACACACACACACATATATATATATATATATTCTTTTTTTTTAAGCCTAATTTGGGAAAGAAACGTTGCCAACTCTATTTTTGGTTGAGTCGGGGCTTCCCTCTCTCCAGTTCCTGAGGACTCCCCTAGGGCCAAGTCCTTAGTCACTGACAAACTGAAGGAAAAATGTTGAACTAAAATAAACAAAAAAAGAGTATTTGAAGCAATTTGTAGCGGGACACTAGGCTAAGTCGGGATTCTTTCAGTGAGCAAGTGCAAGGTGAGGAGATATCAAAYGGGAAACACGCAGCCGGGTTCCAGGGGTTCCTCTGGAGCAAGCTGGATGTTACAGATTTCCAGAGCCAAACCGGATTTTGAGTTCGAGTCAAAACAATATCCTTTAACATGCAGAAATACACCAGAAAAAAAACCCCTTTGGGAGATTTTTGGGAAGTGCGCCTATGAAACAGAGGCAATTACCCCAATGAAGACAGTCCTTCCGAATGGCACAAAGGAGCATGGACACCGGTGGGAAAACCTTCTTGTTCCTCCCCATCAAACCCGCACACACGCAACCCGTTCCTGCAAGTTACGGGCACACAACGTGGAAACGACGCGGGAGGACCCATCTCAACGGGGACTACGTTTAAACACACGTTTTCCTATCAATTCAATATCAACGGGGTGTTCCCGGGCCCCGGCTGAATCCTCCAAAATGCACAAATATGGGATTTCTGCAGCGTGAAACCCCCTGGCTTGGAGCACAGGGCTGGCAGCCCATTTACCAGGTACAAAAACCTCCGTGCGGTACCCCCGGCATTCGGAACACCCAGGCCTGGACCTACAATCTCATAACGCACAACCAAGGAAAGGGATGACAGCCACACAATTTCCTCTTTAGATGCCAGATCCCTTTTTTTTCTTTTTTGAATTATTAAAAACACCCAACGCAGTTTCTGTCTTGCTACATCTCACGGACACAAGCTCTCTCATGTCAACGCAGCGCCAGGTTAAAGCAAAACGTCCCATTGAGGTGCCACAGATGAGATTTTTATTCACTGGGTTTGAGCTCTGCACAAAGCCTTAAAAGAACTTGCAAATATATTGCAAATGTATTTGCAAATATATGCAATATCTTTTCCTTTTTTTTTTTTTTTTTGCAGGGATCATCTCCCCAGCCTCTGCTGTTAAACTTTAACTCGTGAAGCTGCCAACAGCAACTGCAACCCCACTCTCGCAGCTCGAACTTAACGTTTGCTCAATGCAACGTYTCCCAAAAGTACAAAGCACAAATTTACAGCGGCGCACGCGGCGCTTTCTCCCGGCTTCCCCCTGCAGGGTCCCCAGCAGAGTTTGCAGAGGCAGCTTYCAGGAACGGCAAATAAACGCCGAGCTCCCCCTGTAAACACAGGGGAATTTACGTTTAACAACGCCACGATTCCCCTCTGCCCACAGGCCAGCCGAGCGGCACTTGCCGGCGACCAGGCCGGACAACCTGAGCGGCGCTCAGCCCTGTTAAGCTCCGCTTAATAAACTGCTCACCCTTGCGGTTCACGGGAGTATGGGATGCAGGAGATATTTACCCCGAAGCGGCACCGACAAGGCCCGGCGGCGGGGGGCCCTTCCGACCGCCCCGCGAGCCCCACATCACGCAACGCCAAGGCAGCGGCCCGTTCGAGCGCGGCTTGCCCCGTGGCGGCCGTTTTCCCGCTGCCAGCCCCGCTCTGGGGCGGTGTTTTGCATCCGTCGCTCACCTTCCCAGCGGGCTCCCGAGGAAGCGCTGCGGTTCTGAGGCCGATTAAGCGAGTTTTGGCGAAGGGGCTCTGCTCTAGGCCTGGGGAGCGGGTTGCTAAGCGGGAGAAGCGGCAGGAAAGCAGGCCGGGATGCGAGGGGCCGGCGGCGGCGCAGAGCGAGGCGGCCGCCACGGAAGGGCCGCGGGTGCCGCCGCCCGGCAAAGCCGCGGCCGGGCGCCGTG